CCCCGTGGCCCCAGCCGTTTCGGGCAGGAGGGCCACGGTTGCCGACGGCGCGTAGACCCGTGGGGCGACCACGCACTGTGGCATGCACGCGCACAAGCTTGCTGGCTACACGCGCGAAGTTGGTCGAGCGAGCTTGGCTTGCGGTTTGCCGTGAGGCCATGGGGGCCGAAGGACACGTGGTCCCGCAACAGTGGCTGGCACACACGTCGGTACCAGGTGCGCCATCAACTGACCGCCGGCGACTTGACCTCGTCGTGTACGGAGCCTCCCGTCAAGGTCTGGCGCTGTGCTGCGATGCCACCCTCGTGAAAGCCCTCCGCGGGCTGCTTTCACCCCCGGCGTGGCTCTGCGCACCGCCGTAAACTGCAAACATGCCACCTATACCCCGAGCTGCGACGCGGAGGAGCTCAGCGACTTTGCGTCCTAGCTATACGGAGATCGGACCGCTGGAACGCGGATGCGCACGCGCTCGTGCGGCAGCTGGTTCACGTCCGGGCCCTCTGCCCGCCGCCGGCCTCGCGCGCGGCTGCCTCGAGTGCCTGGGCACGACGGTGGTGCAGCACGCGGTCGGGGGCACGGCGCTGGGCGCCGCCTGGTTGTTCCCCCGCAATGCCACAGACCAGCAGCCTGCCCTCGAGCACGTCCTCGCGCTTGCGGAGCCGGGCGGGCCGAGTCGCCTCCCGCTCCGATGAACGGGAGGGTTCGGCCGAGTCGCCTCCTGCTCCGGTGAACGGGAGGGTTCACCCTACCTTGGAAACCTATTGCTGCGAAAAATGTTCTGCAGAGGCTTTAGCTTCATGGAAGTATATCAAACTCGCTATCGAAAAATACGCACGTTCGCATACCCTCACACCATTGGAGCCTTCAAAATCGAAGTTTGAGGCGGAACACCAAGCAAAGCTTCATCCGAAAAAATTTGATAGGTTGGAATGCACGTATCATTCGGCAACATATAATCTCAAGACCCGGTCTGCCCCAACCATGGCATATTGCAGAATTGAAACGTTTCAATATACGTACGTGCACCCATTTTGCAGTAAGCCACAAATGGGGGATATCACGCATCGGGCCACGACTGGTGTCACGCCTGTCGAAAGTATAATTAGCGGTCCCAGCGCAAGCAGCTGCGAACTACTCAGGCACGCGACTCAGACGCACCGCTCAGGAAGCCGGTGGGATAGCAATCAGCTGAAGGGTCCATGAGCGAAGCGGCGAGGCCCCACCGCGGCCGAATATGCAGCTGAACACGACGACCACCGCGTCGCGGTGCTCGTCGGTTTGGCAAAGCTGCCCACAGCAACCGCGCGTGCCTTCCACCCGTCCCTGCAATGTGGTGGGCTGGGCCTGCGAAAAGCCTTCGTGCACAAGCCCACCCGTCGAGCACGCTCTTGAGCGTGCGTTCTTCGTGAGGCCGCTTCAGACTTGAGGGATCGGGTCGTTCCGCTACAATCGCTGGCGCGCACACCAGGCCCCATTGTTAACCTATGATTGGTTTACCCACAGCTGCTGCGACCGGGGCCTTAGCGCCCCCTGCATACTTGCCTGCGAAGTTGGCGGCGGATGGAGCACTGAATCGCTTCGTTGACCAGATGGTACGGCTTCGAACACGGCATGCACATGATCTTGCCGCCCAATGCTGACTGCGCCACTGATGGTGCCTGTTGAGTGTGGCTGTGTGAAATCGCAACAAGCGCTCCGCTTTCGCGTTGTTCCGCACACCGCTTTGACATCTGCTTGAACAGCAGGTCACCTCCCGGTCCAGTGCAGACACTGCGCACTACGGGAATCAGGCGCACACGCAATGTCTGATGCTCCCACTGGCCATCGCGTTGCCATGCGCAACTGGTACTGCTTTCTTTCGGGATTTCAATTCACGACTCTGCAGTGGCTCCCTCCTTTGATGCTGCAGGCCCGAAGCATGGGTCTCAACACTCGCAGTTGGACTTGGAGGTGTGCATCGATGCCGGTGGGTGTTGCCACCTCCTGGTCAATTCGCACGGACCCAGCAGTAGGAGCTGAACAACGCAATGCGCTCGGTTGACTAGAATCAACGCGGACAACTTCCGACACCTTCTCCAACACCACTGCGTCCTTGCAGCTGCAGTGTTGTTATTTTGTCGATGCAGTTTATCCGACCGTGTCCGACAGGGGTGGCATCGAAGCGGCTCCTAACAGCTGCCAAGCACGTGGAGCTGCCAGCACAGGTCCGCGTCGCCTGTCCACGTCGGCCACAAGCTGTGACTGCGCAGCGCGTTTCCCTTACGCCACGTTCCACAGCAGCTGTGGGCTGTGGGCAATCAACGGAACGCCCATACGACAGGCTCACACGACCCTCTCAGCAACTACAACCGACGGAGAAAACGCAGACAGTCGCACCGAGCAGCGCTGCCCCGCCAGCCTTCGTGGCAGCACACCACGAGCATAATATGTCGGCCGCTCCCGCTGAAAAATCAGCTCCGGAGGATGTCGATGGAGAACGGCCCAGGCTCTACATTGTCGAAACGATAGATAAAACAGAATGCGTGCCAAAGTTATATTTTAACACAACGAAGGATCGTCGTGTCGTTGTGGTGTTGGCATTCATGCAGGCTCCGTACTGTCTAGATGCCTGGACCCTGAGTTCTTGAGTAGGTCTTGATCTGCAGTTGAAACTTGTCCTTGCCTACAGCTTCCCTGTATGCTGTGATGCCGACGTGGAGACTTGTGATGATGAAGCAGACAAAGTCACACCTTTCCGCACTGCGACGGGTCCGGAATACACAACTCGTGTTGGCCAGAGTTGCTTTCGTTGGTTCACGGGTGTGTTCGTAGGGCGTCTTTGTTGACGGATGCAAGGCGCATGACCGTTCACACCATCGGATGCCGTCGGGCAAAAAGAGGCTTTAAAAACAGCCGCAAGCGCCAGCTCCTGCTGTGCCTCCTGATCAACCCGCAGAGCCACGTGCCAGCATGGCCAAAAAGCTGTTTCTCTCTGCGGCTCTCTTCTTCGTCGAAGCAGTCGTCACTGTAAAATTGACAAATCAAATTGACCTCGATGCAATGCTGGTAAATCAGGTTGGTGATCGTGAACTAAGTCGACAGTGGTATGTCGACTTCTGAGCGGCGCATCCCCGCAGCACGGATCTCTGCCGTTGCATCTGCGGGGTCCGGCGCGAGCGGCGACCCAAAGCCCAGAGCTCGAACACATGTGCTGCGGTGCTGCGGTGCTGGCAGCAGATTCGGCTCTGAAACCGTGCTACTCTTGCGCCTTCTGGCACGCCACCGGGCCGCCTTTCCGCGGAAGGCCCTCCGCAATCTCTGCGAGACGCTACGGAAGATTGCCGAGCTCAGGCTGCGGCGCGCTCCACAGCACTTCCGGAAACTACTCGTAGCTGCTAGCAGATTTCCGGCCTGGCCGACGATTTCCACCAGTGCGGGGCACAGACAGCTCCAAAACTTCCACATCGGTATACAAACGCGTACGCAGTAAATCCTTTGCAGTCGTATGTCGCAGAGGAGTGAAGCAAGCAAACGTCAACCTCGAGAGACCCAAATTAACCAAAAAGACCCGAGGTGGCGTCGCCAACAAACGAACCGGCAGCAAATTCGTACATCGGTGGCATGAAGTGCTCTCTGCGAGAATCCGCAGCGCAGCGACTCGCAGCACTCCCGGAGTTGCCAGAGGATTTCCCTGTGGGGGTACAGACTCGAACGTGACCCGAGGTGGCGTCGCCGACAGTCGGGCTCTCCGCAGCACGAGTAGAAACGGTCTGAAATCCCGATCCCAAGCCGCATCGGGAAGCAAGAGCTCCTCGTGGGACCCGAGGCACACCAGTGCGTGCTGTGCCAAACTTGCAAGGGCCATTGGTGATTCGGTCCGCCGGCTTTTGTGGTCTCGCTGCAGCTTCATAACATGGTTGGAGAACTTATCAAAGATGCGGTTCAGGATAGCCTCTCCACCTGCGAAGCTGCATGAGCTTGCGAATGCCAGCTTCTGTGAGCATCGGCTGGTATGTTCTTCTGTTTGTGCCACAACCATGACGCTGTTCTTTTAACAGCTCCGCATGCCTGAAATCACATGCTAGACTACTGCATGATCTCTTGACATACCATTTCAAAGCGCGCGAGTGGGATTGGCGTGGGCCACTTCGTTGCTGCCCAGCCTGCGGCGTTAGTGCGGGCCGTTGCAGCGTGCGCAGCTGCCGTCACCAACTCCCCCGCTCCGCCTGGCGGCCCTGGCCCAGTTCGAGCAGAAGCCTTTAAAACCAGCTCCGCGAGGCGACCTCCGCCTTACACCACGGGAGGCGTCTCCGTCTCCTATGGGAACTTCGGTTCGCCACGGGACCATGGGGTCCGCCCTGCTTGAGCTTGTGCCGAGATGCCGAGTGCAACGAACCAACCGGAACCACTCCTGGAGAGTTGGAGACGCATCTCCATCGGCCTGGTAACATCTCACAGAGCTGCAGACAGCAGGTGCAACACAGCGGAACGCCTCATGCTTCGCGAGATTTTTCATCCCAGGCCCAGGCAGCAAGGACCTCGCAGCATCAACGCGATGCGTGGGCCCCAGCAAATGAGAGAGTGCTGTGCCATGCAAAGACGGGTCCTCGGAAGCGGAAGCAGAAGCGACGCCGTCTGAACGTCCGCCTGAGCCACCATGGCCATGGCGGAGCGATGCGGAGCGGGTGGGCCCCCCCCCCTGTGGTGCTCAGCCTCGGAGCCGCAGCAAGCCGCTTTCAAGTCGTTTTGAAAAAGGCTCCGTTCTGAGGCGGTCGTCTTGTGATTTGATCTTGTGGTGATCTCACGGCGACACATCACGGAATTCTAAGGCAGACATGAGGCGGACCGGGCCGAGGAAGGGTCTTGGTGCTACTCTAGGACCTACTATTGCACGTTCAAGCGCAAAAATGTATAAATAAAAGCGACAGCTGTCCAGCTGTCCGCACTTGCACTCTGCGGGCGCTCTTTTTGGCGGACCGGGCAGGTCGAGCCAAAGGGGCGCCGCCGCCCCGCAGCTGGTCTCAGACCTCGAGAGCTGCTTTTGCCCAGAGGCCCAAGTCCAAGTAGTCCAAGTCGCCGGCCTTGACCCCTGCACTTTGGCTGTAGATGAGGCGGCCTCCGTACTGCAGCTTCCTCGCCGTTCAAACACAGCATGGAGCTGCTCTCTCTCTCTCTCTCTCTCTCTCTCTCTCCCTCCTGCACCACAAGTACATGTAGTCGGCAGAAAGCAGGGTGTGGAGAACCTCAGCGGAAAGAAGCGGAAATCAAGCGGAGAGCCGAGAGCCCATCTGAGGCTCTTGGCATCTGCGAAGAAGAGCTGCAAGAAGTGCTCCCCTGAGCCGAGAATCCGAGAGCAGAGCAGAGCTCAGAGAAGAGGCAGAGCTCCGCAGAAGGCGCCTAGAAAGTACATCTTCCCCCAGAAGCACATCCGGATGAAGCGTGCGACCTCGGCTCAAAGGCTCAAAGGCTCGAGCCGAGAGTGCAGCCCAGTGCAGCCCAGTGCAGCACAGCAGCTACGATGAGGCCAACCTTGAAAAACGGTGGAACCACGCTCTTCGAAGGTAAAAAGAACCCTCAGCACTGCAGCTCTCAGAAACAAGCGTAGTGGGACGTCAAAGGCTCCACCTGCGCCGCACCCAAAAACCCCCGCACGACGAGTCACGCCGCAACAGCGCTGCAGCGCGGCCTCGTGCATTTTCCGCATCAGCCAGAGCTGCGGCAAGAGCCCGAAAGCCTCCTGGAACCTGCCGAGCCGGCGGCACGCCGAGGATTAACAGGGAGACTGCGTCCGAGGTCCGCCGAGGGGCATTGTATACGAGACCAGGATCTGCATCGTCAGCCTTCGCAGCGTTACGGCGCTGAGAGGCTGCACCGAGGCTCGGCACGAGGCTTGGGCCATTCGTCTCCGGGGTGGAAGAAGAAGGCCAGGACGAGGGATGCAGGAGCCGTCGCGTACCTTCCCAAGTCGAGTGCATGCTGCATGTTGCACGAGACTCTCCCTCTCTGTTCAGTCTTCTCCTTTCCTCTGCTAGCATCTGCTCTGCTGCGGAGCACGCTCGAAGGAACGGCGTGGACCTTGAAGAGCAGAGACAGAGAGACGGATACTGCAGCTGTGCTCCTGTGCTCCTCTCCCCGTCGGCTCGGCCCCGGGCTGTTTGGGAGCGGTGTGCTGCAGCTGATAGCACATGAAACTAAGAGCAACAGCCACAGCCTCAGCAGCACTCAGAGGCTCAGCCAAGGCACCACCTTCAGACTGCCGAAAGGTTTCTCGGCTCGCAGCTGTGGAAAGCGAAAGCTCCAAGTATGCAAACTTCGTTTCCACCAATCTCGTCTCCATGGACTGCCGGTACACCGCTTCATGCAACCGCATGCAGCTTCCAGAATTAAACAAGAACGCACTTCCAAGGCAGAGCAGCGAACCCAGATGCAGCGTGCCACGACGGCTAGCATGTAGGATGCCTGGTGTTGCACATCAGCAATCAGACTGCTGTAAAAACCGTCGCACGCCATAGGTTCAGTCGAGAAACCTGAGTGTCGATGCTCAGTCCATAGATAGATTTGTGCTTCCAAATCTTGTAGAGCAAAATGCAGGATGCTGCAAACTGGACAAAATAGCCTTGGTAGCATTCGAGAAGACCACGGTCACTCACTCTCTTACTCTTCTTCAGCCACCGGCCCACAAGAAAAAGGAGAATCTCCATACCAGACCTGCCGCTGCGCCTGTGCCGACATTCCGCTGCGCACGCAAGTCTCGCTCCGATTCTCGCTTCCTTACAAGAGACGTGAGGCACGGCCGCCTGCTGACGCCGTTCTTTCATCGGACCATGTCTACGTCTTTGAACCCGAATGTGCACAGGGACGCAACCTGGACGGAGACCGTCTCATGCAAACTCACGCACAGCATCAAGTGATCCACGTTGGCAATTGCTCAGGGGAGTCTGATGACACATGATTTCCTAGCATTATGAAGATGCAAGCAACAAAGCATGAAATGCGACTTACTACACTATTGTGATCCTGTGCGCCTATGTTCGCCAACATGGAAACATCGCTTCTGTACAACCAATGCGCCGAACGCATCACAGAAGTGTGACAAAAAGCACGACAGCCCACGTTTCCATGCAAGCAAACTGTTGGAAGTGCAGGCAGAACAAACTCCCGCACATGGTGCGAGCAAGGGACAAACACTGTCGAAACTGCAACAAACCCCGCTGAAAACAGCAGGGCAACAAACAAAAAACAAAAACATCTCAACACCTAGACCTAAAATATCCTGGACTTAATCGACCTTCTTCCCTCAATCACGCTGAACGTCCTCGGTGGAAAGGGCGGGCGTAAGCCTATCATGTACATGCCGATTGAAAATCGTCGGGCAAACTACACTTCGGACGAACGACGTTTTGCATGTGCATACAATTCGCGCTTGATCGAAGCACGAAGCAAAGCTTCAATTGTTCTCTTGCAAACATTCACACATCACATACCCGTCATCCCAACCAGCCCTCAAACTCAGATTGCTCGAAAACTCATGTGCAGCAGGCGCTATGCCATCTATGTTATGCGACGTACGGCACACAATGCTCTTCACAATAATACTCGTGCAGATTCACTAAACATGCTTGGAACAAAAGCGAATGGAGCGTCACATGCAAAACGAGCCTGACCTTGTTTGAAATATGACTTGTCCACTGTGCATGTCTGACAACACATGTCCACATCTTGATTGAAATCATGCAGATTGGGGCAACCATGCGAAAACAAGGTACATGTTGTTGTCACCTGAGCCTGAGGAAACCTGGTTTTTTGTAACACAACACAAACTAGAGGCACACCAGCTGTCTACGCACACACCCAGGTCGCGCAGCTACTTTCTGCAGGTACGTTTTCCTAGTCGAGTCAACTGGAGCTTCGTTGGCGACGGCCACTTGAACGACCCCGTCGCCCCCTGCATGCAAAAGCAAAAAGGAAAAACATTAGCAAAAACCAAAAACCTTGACTCAAAAAACTGGTGCAGAACATGTCGCATGTACAGCAGTATAACACAAACAGGCCCCGTCAAAGGCAAGGGTTTATTGCAAAAAGATCACTCATTGTTTGATCGAGCGCAAGTGGTTCCTCTCGGTCCTGACTGAAACACTCTGCAGGTGAGAAAACAGGAAGAGTGGGCGGCTGTAGTCGCTCACAGAAGACCTGCCAACGATGACTGGCCGTGACAACAGTCTTTCACACGAAAGTTGGCTTGCCACATACCGGTCGACGTGGCGATGGTTCGGAGGTACGAACTTTTCCACACTCCTGAGCAACAAAAGCCTTCGGTTGTAACACGGTTTTCACAAGTGCACACCTAAAGGAGCGAAAGGAAAATGCATGATAAAACAAATAGAAAAGCATGCTCACGAATACCGGAAAATCGTTCGTACCCCGCCTCAGGCTGTTCCATTGGCGTTATGGGCAGACTGTCCGTGAACGATTCCGAAAGACAAAACAACAGCTTGTACGACGTTTTAAACACGCTCCAGTGCACTTGTTTCATGACTTAGTCAATCTAGATAGCGTATCGGGCTCGGTTTAGCCGGCTCAAGGCTTTGCTCGGATGTTTGTACACCTACGGTCTATACAATCACAACTCTACGCATACTTGTATCACAAGGCGTGGACCGCCGAGGACACAAGGTGCTTGACTGGCGCAAGCGGACGCCTTCACAAGTTGTCCAGGAAAGGCGGATTCATGTTGGTTCATGCGCTTTCTGCGCCCAATCAGCAAAACAAGATTGCACCGGCCTAGTTACCGTTCCGGGCGCCAATCGCGCCTCATAGCATCTGTGAGCCGCTCCACGGCCCAAGGAAATGTGGCATCATTCGGGTTGGCAGCAAAATGCTGCACGCCCTTATTCAAAGTGATCGCAAGCCGTTCAAACCGCACCTTGTCAAGCTATGTACAGGATCCAACAGCAGCCTGTCAATCAGTTGCGCCGTGGCACAATTGACTGACTATGTACATGGCATCCAATGTGCCTCATGAGCATTATAAAGCAAGATTCAAGCGCACGGCACGGCATCACAAGAAACTCTGGCACGCTGCTTCAAGGTTTGCAAATCCTGCATGCGCGGTAACCTTTCTCGATTGCACGCTGGCGTGTGATCTCAGTCACACCTGCACTCTGATTAAGTTTCCCGCACGTCGCCTTATGGAATGCTTATTTCCTTAGTGTTGACCGCGTGAGAGTCTCCTAAACTTGACTGTTGTTCAGCACATGCGAAAACTTCAAAGCAATGCTACACACTCGGACAGCGTCTTCGTTTTCTCTCGAGAGGGCAAAGGGGTGCAGTAAGTCTCGAGTTTGTTCACACCTTGCTCGCCCTGCCACAAGCGGCAGGGTTAGGCAAGACAAAGAGGGTACTTCAGCAAAGGCGAGGGAGGGCGGGCCAAAATTTCATGGGCCAGAGAAAAGCTTCTACCTCCACATCCCTCCCATCTCGAGCAGAGGCCATCGGATGGTCGAGGGATCCTTCTGTTCAAACACAAGGCAAATGACATGTGTTGAAAGCTGAAGCATAAAAATTAGCAAAGAGACCACGCTTGAATTTTCAAGAGAAATTCATCAACACACGGAAATAAGAGCATCGTCCCTCCGGGACCGGAACTTTATTTCCTTAGTGTTGACCGCGTGAGAGTCTCCTAAACTTGACTGTTGTTCAGCACATGCGAAAACTTCAAAGCAATGCTACACACTCGGACAGCGTCTTCGTTTTCTCTCGAGAGGGCAAAGGGGTGCAGTAAGTCTCGAGTTTGTTCACACCTTGCTCGCCCTGCCACACCCCATCTGAGAGCGAGCTCGGTAAGCAGATGCATCAAACCGGCCAAGCGCACGGAGCTTGAAGCCTTTGCACTCCTTCCCTCAGTAAATGACCGAAGACACTTCGACTGGGCTCGTCTGCTGGATTAGAGCTGGTTGGCACTCGGCCATACCACGGACGGATCCTTGCTGAGTCCTCCAAGTCGAGAACCGAACTCACTATGGACTGACCAGGAAGAGTCGACGACTTCCCTGATACCAAGGCTCCCTTCGCAGCTTCGTTGTCAAGGTAAACCACTACTAGGCAACGGGTAAGTCGGTTCATCCACAGCTTTAAAGCGGCCCAGATGGCCAGCAACTCAATCTCGTAGATTGGGTGGCTCGAAGTTTCCTTGAGTCTGTTCAGGGCATCAAGCGGAAGGCTGGCTGCAAAGAAAGAAAGAGGTTTACCGAGTGGGTCGTACAAAATGCCGCCCACGCCGGCTACTTCTCCCTCGAGGCTTCCGTCAGTGAAGACGTAAAAGGTTTCTTTGATGTCAGGCGTGAGCTGCACAGGTGGCGACTCCAGAGCTCGATCACGCAGGTACGTGAGAGCATCACGAAGGTCACTGCTCAGCTTCCTACCTCTATCCAAACCTTTAGCCCTAAGACCTAAGACTCTCAAGGCTTGGCAGGGCCGGCGGCCGAAAAGGAAAGAGCTGAACCAATGGAGTCTGCCTCGAAGGGCTTCGGCTTCCGACGACTCAAGCAAGCCGGAATCAAGAATACGTGTGAGGGTCTGCCTCAATTCCTGAATGCGCTCTGGCGTGTGCTTGATGTACACGACTCCATTTCCGAATTCACTCAGATCAATAATCAGGCCAAGGGCCCGACATTGCTTGGAGAACTCGGTGGCTTTCTTCCCTTCCTTTGCGAAAGTTATTCCGAGGATGTCGAGCAGGGCCTCCGCACAAGATTCGGCACAAAGACAGTGCTCGTCCAAACTGAAAAGAGGAAAGTCGTCAAAATGATTGCACCAGGAGAGGCCCAGCAGGGCTGAGCCGATATGCCACGTGGCAGCAGACGTTCTCAGGAATCCTGCCACGGATCCCGTCGTTCCGAAGGGGAGCGCTGCCGCTCCGAAGAATTTGGGTTTCCTCGAACACGTATCAAGTACAACGATTCGGAAGATTTCCCGATCAGAGGGATTGACAGCGTACTGTTTGTATGCCCATTTTAAATCAATGGTTTTTCCCGACACCTGTTTCCCTTTGGCCCGTGGGTCCATCATGGCCCAGACAAGGAAGGCCGAGATGAAATCAATGCTGTGTAGCCTGAAACGTTCAGGCAACCCAACGGTCTGATTGATCCCGGCTGCCTTCCCGTCGTCTATCACTCTGGTCTTGGCGCCTTGGATGATGCCGAACCTTCGGGCAACTAAGACAGACGAAAGGTCCGGAGCTGGGTCTTCAAACAGCCAGCCTTTCTGCTGTTCCTCGAGCGTTTCGGACCAGGCCTTTTCAGCGACAGCATCAACCGGCTGAGAAGAGACCCTGGCCAGCGTAGCGGCATTCCTGGCTGAAGCACATCTAAGCTGTTTGTCAAGGCTGGTCTTAGGGGGGCGAGGTTCGCCAACGAACAACCCAGTTCTAGGCATCCATCCGGTCAGCGGAGAACCCTTCCTAAGGTCAGGGACTAAGGACTTGTCTGGAAAAGATGAGTCGGCAAGCAACCTTTCGAGTAGGAAGGTTTTCTTCCCGTCGATGATTTTGCTCACCAAAGGATCCAGTGATTTCCGAGCTTGTTCCTCCACAGGCTCGAGTTCCTTAGCGATTTCGTTCCACTCTGCTAGTCGCGATTTCCCCAGGTCCTCGCAGGCTGCGCGTCCGGTCAAAAGGTTATCTACAAGGAGCTTGGTTCGCTCA